AACAGCATCTCCTTTTATTGCACCATTTTTATGAAAAAAATGAAGTGCAAAATAAATGTATTACTGACTAGCACATCTCCTACTGCTTGGAGCCTTTTGAAGATTCAAGAGAAGACTTACTTGTTTGAACAGGTAACTTAAAAATCTGTTTACTCCCTCAACAGCATCATTTTTAACTGTCAAAATACAAAAAGAATGTTTTCTGTTTATAAAAAAGCAGACGGAAGTTCCAGAGAACATTTCAGGCAGCTGGGCACATTTATGTTGCTATTACCATATAAACCTTTTTTTTTTTTTTAAATGTAAAACCAGACTCTTATTATTATTTTAACACTGCACAGCTTTGCTCTTTTCATCTTCAAAGTTTTCATGACATAAATGATACAGGCCTAGCTTCTGCTCTGCATGCACACAGCTTATCATAGAATCAGGGTCTTAATCTTCTTGACATCTCTGAAGCAGTTAAATTGTAAAGACACAGAAGCAGAGTGGTAGCTCATAGCCCCAAAAGAAAGCAATATCAAACCTAGGATTAGAAATAAGAAATGCCTTATTCATTAGTGAATTGTATGCTACCCCTCAGGTATGTTTTCCATCCATTATAAAGTTCATTGTGTGTTAAAATCCACAGTAGTATTGGAAATTACTTTAGAATGACTGTAAAACTTTAAGAGATTATAATCCCTTAACACTGAATGAAAGCATCACACCTAAAAATTCTATTAAAGGGAGCATTTTTCACTGATCTAACTTCAAAATAAACTATTTTAAACATTAAATCAGAAGAAAACATGAGCACTAGTACTCTGAACTGTGAAAGGGTTGTGAAGCTCACAGAAGAGCAAAGAGTTCCAGTTTACCATTACTGATCACATTCTTAAGTTGAGATGCACAGTTTTTCAGGTTTATTCCACATAATGGAAATAGATGCCCATCTACATAATGGAAATAGATGCCCATTCACCATTCCACAGTTTTGGAATACAGCCTCACTCACATGCATCCTGGGAAAATTAATGACAGTTGATATTAGTCTAGTAACAAACTTCTTAAAGTTCCTGGGCAGAATGAATGCATATGTTTATACAATGGAAGGAAACCGTGGCAAGAACTCCCTTGCCAGAACAACCTTCAAAAACAAAGCCATAGAAGTCTGGGCTAGATCCACAAAACCTTTTTATGTGAGCTCTGGGCAAAAGTTCCCATAGGTACCCAAGGTATTACTCCTCCATCTAAACGCTTCTCATGCTCTGCCTCCCATGGAAGGACACTGCCCAGCTCAGAGGTCACCAAAAAGAACATGCAAAGTCACTTACTCCCGTGTGGAGCTAATTTAGTTGAAGGGCTAACAAAGGTAGGTTTGAACTGGAACAGCAGAGTGAGAGCTGGAGCAAAAATACTTTTGCTTCTGCTAATTCTCACAGGGTAATTACCAGTACTGCAGACAAACAAATGCATGCACTAACATATTACTACAGGAAGATTCACTAGAGCTCTGCCTGTCAAAACCCTACGTTACAGTCCAAACCCAAAATTAAGAACCACTGAAATCCCATACAACTGTTATTAAGAAGAACACAGAGAATGTAGATTCCCATTTAGGTTCCTAAAGCTGTCCCAAATCTTCACAACTCTGCCCAGCCTCAGCAGGCTTTGTAACCTTCATTTTCTATTATTATTTTTTATTTTTTGTCTGTCTAGCAGACAGGCCAGTGCCTGGCTAACATACACAAAAGAGAGCTGAAGATTTACACTCAAATGTGTTTCCCAGCAGTGAGAGCACTCTCCTGTGATGTGGGAAGCAATATTAATTGAAGCAAGATCTTGCAGCCTGACTCTACCACATCCCAGGGAAATGCCCTAGCCCTTGGGCATAGAGTTAATCTCTCATTAGCCATCCCTCTGGTCTCTTGAATAAATTATTTATGAAAAGCAAAAAAAGACTTCAATAGGAAAAAGTGAAAAGAGATTTACCATGGAGTTCCTGGTAGAGAAGCAAATTCTGTAGGTGATATATGCTTTAAAAAGGAGCCATTTTAGACAACACATCAGTTTGCATTGTGGGGGCAAGTACACACTAATAACAGCCAGATGCTATCCTATATGTGAGTGAGGACAGAGTTTATGGCTGAAAATCCCAACTAGAAAGTGAAGTCCATTCCAAGGCGCTGGTAGATTTTTATTTTGAAACACGGTTTTAAACACAGCCCTCTGCATTGGGCCTATCCAGATCTGCCTACAGTTTGCTGATTTCTATGACTCCTTTGCTGCTCTTCTGTTTCTACTTTTGCATTATATAAACATGGATCAAATCCAAGCTTTCACAACGCAGGCAAACTTAAGACCTGAGCACAAACCTAACAAGCTGTGTTTAACATGAAAGGAACCCACCAGACTTGATTCAAAGTACACACAACTCCATTCCTGCATGCGTCCACAGATCCTTGTCTGAACACCCCGATACTCAGCAAAACATTGAGCTGGATGAAATACCCAATCTTCTGGCCTACAGTTCTGCCTGCTGGTCAGGAGCGCTTTGCACATACAGAAGCCTTCCAAGTCTTTGGTTCCACTTGATGAGGTTTGACACAATCACCTTCAGCCTTGGTAACCTATAGAAGCTAACAGCCTTACCCCCTCAGCATTTCTTATTTAACCCCCCTATGGATCACCTTCTGGTACTCTGCACATTTCTGGCAGTCCACAAACTCGCTGGAGCAATGGTAGTTTACAGCTCAGCAGGATGCAGGTTTAATGGATATAAACAGACTTGGAGGATAAACTGTGATATAAATCATCCGTATCTAAATTTATATTTAACCGCTGAAGAGCTCATTGTTTTAGCCATAGTGATGGGATCAAAATTATCTCCACGTAAGTAGTGCAATTTGTAGATGAAATATGTAAGAATCCATGCTATGACTTAATTGTTCTTGAATGTTTGGAAATAATCTTGAAGTGACATATTGTTTGCAACAATTCTTAATAGATTTTAAAATCACAGAATCATAGAAAGGCCTGGGTTGAAAAGGACCTCAAAGACCATCTGGTTTCAACCCCCCTGCTATGGGCAGGGTCAGCAACCACTAGACCAGGCTGCCCAGAGCCACATCCAGCCTGGCTCTGAAATGCCTCCAGGGCTGGGGCATCCACAAAATGACAATCTATAAGGACAAAAGTATCCTTCATCAGAATTAAACAAACACAAAATTATGCATCAGTAAATCTTCTTCAGACTACAATGAATTTTAGGGGACACATCACATTTTGTGAAACAATATCTGAAAGACCACTTCAAGTCTTCCAATTACATCAAGATCCCATGCATTTCATTAACTAAGTATGCAAACTGGTTTCAGTTTTCCCAGCGTAACAAATGTTATTATTTAAACTTTCCTCATTTAGATGATTCCACTTGTTCAAAAAGACTTCTCAGATTTTAGACACTTAAGTGTTTACGCATTTCCTGAGGTTTTCAGCAGGCCTAAACACCTTTTAAACAATTAGTCAAATGACTAAAAATATCCAGCATTTTTCTTTGGTTAGTAAGTCAGTTTTTACATGAAAAAAAGTGCTTTTCATAAACTTAGGGCCTGTCTCCCAGGTCAGGTGCGGGCAGTTGTGTGCTGTTCTGTGTGCATATGCTCTTATGCTGGGCCCAAGCAAGATCTTGTACAAACGCCATATAAACCTCCATCATCCACCTTCATTTTAGGATAGCGCTGAGGCCAACAGAAACAATCTCTACCCTCAATCAGCCCCCAAACATCCATCCCTAACCACCAGATTATCACCTCTCCTTTGCTAGCGTAAACACTTGAACTGGAGATCTGGTTTAGGTCAAAAATTATTTCTTTTTTGACCAATTAGGCCTGACTTGGAGCAGACCCCTGACCCAGCTGCACAGACCCTCGTACAAGGAGGAGAAAGGAAGTGAAGCAGCAAGACAGCAGAAAATGCAAGAGTACTTCTTTTGGCAGCAGTGCCATCCCTTGTCAAACCACAGCATGTGAACAAACACATCGTTGTTTCTCAACGTGCTCAACCCGTCGGAGGCACTTGTACTCAATTAAATGTAATTTTGTAATAGTTTCATACATTTTAATTGAATCCCATTTTCTAAGTAAATACAGCATGACTCAGAAATGAAAATAGAACTAATAAGTGCCATTTACACACCAACCCAGCAAAAATTCAGAGTATGAAAGAACGTTCTTCAAGTTTCCTTCTGATAACCTAAAAAGAAATAACTAATTCAGTGTCGAACTCACAGCTGTTTGCAAATCAATTTAATTTTCCCAACCAACGAGCAGAGCAACCTGCTGCGGGGAACCTGCGTTAGATGACCCACAGAGGTCTCTTCCAACACCTCTGATTCTGTGATTCTTTAGCAAAACCACATATAAAAAAACAACCCTGAAATCAGGCCGGCTGCCGGCTCTCCGACCCGCAGCGCAGCCTCCCTCGCACGGCGACGCCACCAAGATGGCGGGGGCGGCGCTGCGAGGGGTGCGGGGCAGCGCACGGACCCGCCGCCCGCCTGCCCTTCCCCGCCGCCCTCCCGCCCCTTTCGTCAGCCGCCGGCCTCGGCGGAGGGAAGGGGCGGAGGGACGTGGGGGAAGACGCTGGGCGGGCGAGCCGCTAGCCGCCGGTATTTGCTCCCTCGCTCGCTCACCTGCCGGTAGGTGAGGCGGAAAGGCCGCAGGTAGAGAGAGGACGTGCAGGGTTGGAGCGCCAGCTCCTCAATGGCGTCCATCCCGCTGAGGGCGGCAGCCGCCGGGAGGAAGAGGAAGAGGAGGAAGGGCAGAGGCGCGCGCAGCCGCCGCAGGCCGGGCGAGGCAGGGCCTGGGTGCGGGCACAGCGCGGGGCCGCGGCTCCGTCCGTTGGGCAGCCGTGACGCGGGGACACGGCGCCTGCCTTCTCTGACAGGAGCTGAAATGCCGGCTTTCTCCCCAAAAAGGGGGCGAGGCGGCGGCACGGAGGGGCCTTTTTAGGCTTACCCTGTTCAGAAGTACCTATGTGTGAGGCCGCTTTCTCAAAGGCGAACGTTTGCTGCCTGTTAGCTATTTCTGCGTGTTATGCTAACGTCAGTGCTGTGCTCCAGTTCTAAACAGAAACCAGAGGTGTGACGTCAGTGCTGAGTTTTGTCTCAGTTTCATCCTGATCCTGGCTGCGTGTTCGGCTCTGCCAGATGAGGAGCTGGGTGTTAAAGGACAGTCCCATCTGCCTGCGTGCCTTGGGAGAAAACCTGATGGCTCTGAACAGCTCTGTGAAAGGAGTGTAGTGAGGTGGGAGTCAGCCCCTCTTCCCAGGTAACTGATCGGATGAGAGGTAATGACATCGAGTTGCACCGGGGGTGACTCACAGAATCATTAAGGTTGGAAAAGACCACTAAGATCATCCAGTCCAGCCCCATCCCACCCCCGCCATGCCCACTGCCATGTCACTCAGTGCTACACCTCCACAGTTCTTGAATACCTCCAGGGGTGGTGACCCCATCACCTCCCTTCCAGTGTACAGCTGCTTTAGCTCCCATATAAATCAAATTATTTTATGAATACATTAGCTACGCTGAGAATAACCTGCAATTCTTCCCATCCCTTTATTTTTTCTTTTCTAATCTCTTCCCACTGCATCATTAATAAGTTTATTATCCCTTAATGTGGTGGTGAGAGTCTTAACAATATGGCTAAAAAGAAGATAGCTAGCAATTACAAAGCTCAGTGAGAAATAAGTGAGGCAGCGTTACACTGCAGATTGCCTGTTGTCAGCTCTGATAATGCAAGTGACAAAATAGTGTGTTTTGTGGAACCAAAAAGTAGTGTCTTTTAAGAGAAATATTTGTAAAACTTTCATGACAAGTAGGCAGCTGAACGTATTTTATTAGCTGACTATTTGAAAGTATTGGTGTGACTGTTTGCATCGCTGGATGTATCCCTGTATTTCTGTTTTTCTCACAGTGATCTTGAGGTCATTCAGAGCTCCTGGGAACTTAAGCTATATTTTGCTATTAAATTATTTTAAGTCTTCCAAGACCAATTTAAGTATAAACACAGTTTCCGTGCACAGCAAGTTTACAGTATCTCTGTTTGCTTATGTTAAAAGTTACCGGGTACCCAGGTCGGCTCAGCCAGTTAGATTGCCCTCTTCAATAAACATTCTGACACCACTTTGAGGTTTTGAGTGTGCGTATGTTTTTGGGAACATGTCATAGCATGTGATGAATTGCATATTCCATTCTTATTCTTAGGTGGGAAGCTTTTGGGGTTGTGCGTGTCACAGACCTGGTCTTGCTAATGTACCTGCAGTTGTAATTGGAAGTAGACTTCTGTATCAGATGGTGTTGTGAGCAGGCAGCTGAACTAAGGACGTAACAGTAAGTTTGAGGAGCTAGCTTAGTGCTACTGTTTTACAGGTGGAATCTGAGTGAGAAAATAAACAGGAAAATATGTGGTGAAACTAGTATTGAGCAACTGGATAGGAATTTTGTTACAATTAATGTCTAGATACCGCTTGCAGCAAGTCCAAGAACAATCCTAGGAAGGAAATGCCCCTCTGCTCCCACCTGCTCCCATGGACAAAGGGGAATAGCTTATCATTGAATGGGCGAGGTGTACTTCTGCTTTCTTGTTTCTTTGCACTACTTTTGTAGCTTGCCTGCAGCACAGTGACTGTGACTTGGATGTAACTGCACTGACTTCACAACACCCAGCAAATGCAGAGATGCTACATGGCAGCTTGGCTCTGGGGTTAGGAGAGCCCTGTTCACACAGTGCACACAAAGTTCCGCCAGAGCAGACGTGCCCACCATGTCCTCACCACTTTTGCTGGAGTAACTTGATTCCAAAGAACATTGGGAGGCATTTGCTCAGTGCTGCCCCATATGGATTTATTGCTGCAGATTGCTATCAGCTTGCAGATCTCTGTACCTTGTTGTGTGTTACTAGACATGTCCACATGTCTGTTCCTGTTTCAAAGCAGTTCCTATTTTAAGGTGGTTTCATTCCTCCAGAAACATGAAAATGGGCATTCATAATTCCAAGGTAATCAAGTGCTGTGTTCGTGTCTATTACTTACAGAGATGGTTCTGATACTTAAGCAGATGTTTAACTGCTTGCAAAGTCCTTTGGTTTCAATTAGCAATTCTCCGTAAATATCATTTACGTTTATATGATATTGTCACTAGATTATCAGTTCCCACACTTCTTACATCCTGGATGACTCTTTGCTATCACAGTTTCTTTGCAGATCACTATCCATTTTTACCACTACCCTCCTAATTGAAATAGATACAGATAATATGCTTCCAAAACCAATTGCCTTGTTCCATCACATCTTCCTTCCTAAGTGTTACTATTAATTGGACTCCCAGAAAATCTGTCAGAATGACAGGTTGCCTTTCATGGCAGCACATGTATTGCTTTTTCTTCCTCAAAAAGGATTTCTGTGTTATGTCTTTTTGGAGACTTTCAAGGCAAGGCTGGATCAGGCCCTGGGCAACCTGATCTAGCTGTGCATGTCCCTGTTCATTGCAGGGGAGTTGGACTAGATGACTATTAAAGGTCCCTTCAACTCTAAGGGTTCTATGATTCTAAATACCATATGTGATGTTACCATGAGTGGTGACCTGGACCTGCTTGTATCCTGTTACTAAAATATAGATGTTTTGTGTAACTCTTATTACCAGCAAAATTTCCAAACAATTTTTTGATGTTGTTTTAAAAAAATTTCCTTGAGCTTCAATTTGCTTTGCAGACACAGACCTTTTCTTCCCCTGAAACACACATAGACGCATGCTCCGTGGGTATGTACTTTGCAGAGGGTTGAGTTGTATCCCTATTAGCTTGTTTTATGCTGTTTACTTCAGGACACAACTGGGAATGTTTCCTCAACAAGTTTGCTGCTGCAGCCCCACTGTTTACCATGTGCAGAGGGGAATGTCCCTGCTGAAGCTTAGCAAAGTGCCTGAGCTGCTGTGTGCGTTCATGCACAGTTAGCAGCGCATTTCCTGCAGTGATTTCTGTACGTGTGTGTGCTTTTAAATTCAATCTGTCTTCACCAGGCTTACCTTGCTCCTTGGCATACCATTGCTCATGACAAAATCACTGAGTCCAGAGCTTTCCTTATCTCCAGCTATTGCAGGATATCATTATTCGCTCGTGTTTCTTTTGATGTGTGTGAGTACTCTAGTTATTAAGATACTGCAAGTATGAAAGCCTCAGCAATTAAAGGCTCACTGACTTGCCATTCTCAGCTTTCATTTTTAAAAGTTATTTCTAACCATCACAATTACAGGAAAAAAGTGAGGAAATGTAAACTACACCAAAGCTATCATTTGTGAGCTGCTAAGCACAGGTCCTGTGCCGAGGAGATGCCACCAATTTAGTAGCAAGGCTTTGATGTCAGGGGAACACATAACCTAAGTCCCCAGCAATGGGCAGAAAGAAGGAAGCCAGCAGAGCTGCCAAAAGATGGGTAAAAGATCCAAAATCCAGTATAATTTGTAATTTCATGTTAGAAATCCATGTGGGTGGCAGCATGAAAGCACGTCCTCTGCACATGGGCCATCCTTGCATTGCCACAGAGATGTTGTGAGTGCCTCTCTGGGGATAAGGTGCAGGTTCTTTCTATAATGAAGTGGCTGTTCTGATGTTTGCCTTTAAAGTTTACCCCCTGGGCTCCTGCAGAAAAGCAAGCCTGAAGCTGCCAATATCTCGCTTTTAATTATTACTCAGTTCTGGGGCATAACCACCCTGGTTACATTCATGAAAGTCAGGATCGTGCTTATGCAATTCTTCTGGCATTTTAAATGGAGCCCTAGAGAAATTTTTATTTTATTTTAGTAGTAACTTATCTGAGGGACTTATTTTTGGTGGTGTTGTTTTAAATGATTTACATTTACATTACTAAATATAAAATCAGAGGTCCACACTATGGTATGTAACAGTGTGTTCCAACGATTTTATTTACCATCAGTTGGTTCAGAGTTGCTTTAATCACATGAATAGCCTCAGTCAGAAGGACTCAGAGTAATTACTCATGTATGGGTTTGCAGAATTTGGTTCATAAGGACTGACAGCATGAGCAAGACAGGAACGGTGTGTGGTATTGCTGGTGTGCACCACTCTGGGTTATGGGAATATTTTGGTTTGTTTCCCTTAGATCTTTTCATTGGCTCCTGCTTGTTTTGAGAAAATCAAACTGAGTCTCTTTGAGTGAGAAATGACCATCTTTACTTTGCAAAGCCAAGTACTGTCTTGTGGGTATAGTGAGAAGCTCACCTGTTTCAACTAGAATAGTGTCATTTTTCAGAAGAGCTGGAATTTAGCCATCTACCCAGGGGAATGAAGGGCTCAAACAATGCCTTGGGTTGTACTAAATACTGTAAACAATATATAATTGAAATATCAATATGATTACAGATACAGGTATCATGACATGTTGTATTGATCTCTAAAAATAGTGGAGAAAAAAAAAACTCTTCACATAAATATGTAGCTAGTATGTCAATGAGGCAGTTCAAAAGGTATTCATAACAAAACATGACAGGTTGCAATATGGTACAAAATAGAAGGAGGTGAGAACATTGGAAGTAAATTCTGATTTCTAGCTTTGCAGATAGGGGAAGAACAAACACATCGCCTGTGGAAAAAATAAGAAACAATATGTATGCAAAATTCAGATGCTTTTTAATTATTTTAATTACTATCCAACAAATGTTGCCTACAGCTAGCAGAGTGAAAATGATTACAGGGAAGACTTTGATTTTTCAATAAGCTCCTCTCTAATGAGGGAAAAAAAGAAAATGATAACACCTTGTTGTTTGTGTTGCAGTACCATGCACAGCTACAATCTGGGTCTCATTATGCTAGAAATAAAGGTAGAAAAACAGTGAATTTCCCTAAAGAGCTACAAACTGGTTTATACAAAGAAACAAACAAGACTAACCCAGAGTAATAAGGAACAGCTGAAGAAGGGCAAAAGAATAAGAAATCTGCTTTTCTTTGGCCAATACGTATGCAATAGAGCTGAAAGGAGAAAAGTATTTTGATTTCTCAGGGAATCTTGATGTTCCAGTTGTTTGAAATTGTCTGTAAAAAGGACTGGAGCCCGACTGGCTGAATGCTTGAGTGTTGGCCATGGCTCCAGCCATGACCCGGGTATCTCAGAGCTCTCCAATCCCCGTGACACTGAGCCTGGTAGCCTGCTTTGGACTGCAGGCAGTAAAAGCCTGTGGGTCTTTATCTTCAGGCAGTTTGCCTAGCAAGATTTGCTGAAGCTGTGGGAGCTGGAAGCCCTGCTCCTCAGGAGACTACCAGCTGGGCTGCTCAGAAGCCGGGGGCTGGCGCAGCTCCAAGGGAAGCTTGCATGTTTTCCAGAGGAATTTAATTGAATACTTGTCTCTATGAAACATTTCT